GACGTTTAACAAAAGTGTGAAAAAAACAATAAAAACGTAAGAACATAAAATACACACAAATCAATACATGTTTGTATTGTAGTATGTATTTTTTTTCAGTATTTTTTTAAATTAAAATTTGAATGATTACTGTGGCGTGTGCTACAGTTTAAAGTTAAAATCGATTGCAGTGAGTTCGATCCCAAGAAGAAGTCACACACATGAGCTTAAAATAATAACACATAATCTTAACCCAAAACCCAGAATCTATTTAATAGCAAAACGAAAATATTAAGAAAAAATAATAGAAAAAAAATATTAATATTGTACTCAGATAGTACAACATTTGATTAACAGAGTTTTCTATTTTTTATTTTTTTAGATAATTCAATTTCTAACAAAGCCTTAAGGTAATGAACACACAGAGGCGTAGCTAGGGGGGTGGGGGGAGGTACGTATGTCCCCGGGCGCCGACCCTAGGGGGTGCCAAAATGGGTTGGAAAAACAAAATAAAATCTCATTTTAACTGCAGTTTTGTATTATAAATATAAAAAAAATATAGGGGGGTGCAAATTGAAAGTTTGGGGGGGGGGGTGCAAATTGAAAGTTTGAATTTTGAGAGGGTAGGGGTGCAAATTGAAAATTGAAAGGTTGCTCCCTAGGGGGGCGCCAAATTGAAAGTTTGTCCCCGGGCGCCGGGAAGGGTCGCTACGCCTCTGTGAACACAACCGAATGATATCCCCTGAAAAAATGGTTAAAATAACTCGTCCATACATGGATGACTAAGTTATTGAGTGACGTGAACTTCAAGATGAAAGGAATGAATAGTAAATGAGTTACGTTACTTGAGCGTCGTCCCACGAGAGAGGTTTTGTGAAGTTTTTGTAGCATTTGTCGTTCTTGAGAATACCTGGGCAGTTGGTGAGGGCAGACGCTGAAAAAAGAGGCATAGTGTTATGTTAGTGGTGTGTGTGGTAGTGGGGTGTTAAAAGCGTTGTGAGGTAGTGGGATGTTAGTGGCATGTGCGGTAGTGGGGTGTTAGTTGCATTGTGATGTAGTGGGGTGTTAGTGGCATTATGATGTAGTGGGGTGTTAGTGGCATTATGATGTAGTGGGGTGTTAGTGGCATATGTGGTAGTGGGGTGTTAGTGGCATATCTAGTAGTGGGGTGTTAGTGGTATATGTAGTAGTGGGGTGTTAGTGGTATATGTAGTAGAGGGGTGTTAGTGGTATATGTAGTAGTGGGGTGTTAGTGGTATATGTAGTAGAGGGGTGTTAGTGGTATATGTAGTAGTGGGGTGTTAGTGGTATATGTAGTAGTGGGGTGTTAGTGGTATATGTAGTAGTGGGGTGTTAGTTGCATTGTGATGTAGTGGGGTGTTAGTGGCATTATGATGTAGTGGGGTGTTAGTGGCATTATGATGTAGTGGGGTGTTAGTGGCATATGTGGTAGTGGGGTGTTAGTGGCATATCTAGTAGTGGGGTGTTAGTGGTATATGTAGTAGTGGGGTGTTAGTGGTATATGTAGTAGAGGGGTGTTAGTGGTATATGTAGTAGTGGGGTGTTAGTGGTATATGTAGTAGTGGGGTGTTAGTGCTATTGTGAGGTAGTTGGGTGTTAGTGGCATATGTGGTAGTGGTGTGTTAGTGGCATATGTAGTAGTGGGGTGTTAATGGTATTGTGATGTAGTGGGGTGTTAGTGGGATGTGTGGTTGTGGGGTGTTAGTGGGATGAGTGGTAGTGGGGTGTTAGTGGGATGTGTATTAGTGGGGTGTTAATGGTATTGTGATGTAGTGGGGTGTTAGTGGGATGTGTGGTTGTGGGGTGTTAGTGGGATGAGTGGTAGTGGGGTGTTAGTGGGATGTGTGGTAGTGGGGTGTTAGTTGCACATTTGTAGTGGGCTATTAGAAGCATATTTGTAATGGTCTGTTAGTGGCATAATCGTAATGGGCTGTATGTAGCATATTTGTAGTTAGCTGTTAGTGGCATATTTCAAGTGGGATTTTAGTGGCATATTTTAGTGGTCTGTAAGTAACATATTTGTAGTGGTCTGTTAGTGGCATATTTGTATTGGTATATTAGTAGCATATTTGTAGTAGGCTGTAAGTTGCCTATTTATAATGTGATATTACTAGCACGTTTATAGTGGGCTGTTGTTGCATTTCAAGTCATAAAAGTGTTTTTTGAACGTACTCCCTCGTAAAATATAAAAAGTAAAAAAATACATTAAAATGTCCCTGTTTTAGTGATAAAACATTTATTTAAAAAAAGAGTCAACTCACCAAATGTACACAGTGAAATACACGACATCCACGTTAACACCTCCATTACGTTGACGCGAAAACGTGTACTCATATTTTGCCAGTAAACGCAAGTACATCATACGAAACTAAGTCTAGCAGAATTATGGTAGTCGTAGGTAAAGATGAAAAAACTACTCTAGCAAGCGAACATCCTTGAGAGTAGCGCCCCAACCCAGCAACTCGACAACATGGCGTTTACATCCTTTCTGAAAACAATCTAAAACTAACAGAAAGGAAAAACTCCATTAAATATGTAGACGTTGTTTTAACCAGCGATAACAGGGAATAATATCCACTGGAACTTGAAAACGAGGGGCCCTGAGAATTTTTCTGTATGGTAATATTAGAAAGGTACAGGCGTGAAGAGGTTGGGAATTCAATAAAAAATGCTAACGCGTGGTTGCTAAGCCGAAAGTCTTAAGGTTTCGATTACAGTTAGGATTAGAGAACTTAATGAATTTTATATTAGCGATAGTATCAGGGGTAGGAAAAGTTTTAAGTAGTGTTTTTAGTTACAGGGTTAGGGTAAGTCTTCAGATGTTAGCGTCAAGGGAATGAAAAATCTAAAGATCTGTTTTCTAGTTGTAAGGGTTAGGTTCAGTCTTGATATTTAATCCTTAGTAAGTGTCAAGGTTAGGGCAAGTTTTAAGCTTTATCTTTGGGTCTTTTTCTTCCTAGTTGTAATTTTCTTTGGGAGTGGGGTGGGGGGAGGTGGATTTACTCCAAAGCAATTAAGTTTTGCTTGTTAACAAATTATGCGCCATACGGCCCCAGCAATCGAGCCTCATCTGGATGTTCGAACTCATGACTTTTTGGTATAACTACCATAAGCTTTACCGACCCGACCATGCCAACTCTAATCTTCAGGGTCGAGGTAAGTCTTGAGATCTATCCTTGGTTATTGTCAATGTTAGGGTACGTTTTAAGCTCTACCTGTGATTACTTTCAGGGTTAGAGTAAGTCTTGAGATCTATCCTCGGTTAGTGTCAACGTTAGGGTAAGTTTTATGCTATATCTGTGGTTACCTTCAGGGTTAGGGTAAGTCTAGAGATCTTTCCTTGGTAAATGTCAAGGTTATGGAGAAAAAAAAAGAAAGTCCTGACGCAGTTGTTGGAGAGAATATTATGTCAACATAATCTATGTCTTGGCTACTATACCAAAAATATACCTTGAGATCTTTAGAAAAGAAAAAAAACTTAAGCAGATGAAACATTTAGACAACGGCAAGGCTAACGCCCACTTCAGCTTACTTATCCTTATCTACCCTGTCTATCGAAGTTCCAACCCATTGCACTAAACAATAACTACCTCAAGAACAACAACATAAAAAAAACAACGTGCAAGCGAGTATTACAAAACTTAAAAACTAGTCAAACATCAATTCATAATGTGTATTTTTTGTTTAGATTCAATAATTCGAAACTAGATATGGTTTTTATCTGGTGCGTGTTATGAATTAGTAAGTCCATGGATCTAGCTTTATGTTGTGTTAACTTTGTGGCAACTATTACACAAACGCAAAGCAATTTGTAGCAGTAAAATTATACTTAGCCTGTATATCTTCCTCTGTTAAATATAGAGTCAATAAAAATAGACCTTTCACTAATAATATTTTGATGCAGTGCAGCTAAGTGTATCTTTATTTATTTTAAAACTGCGATTTTAATTTAAAATTAGCCTCCAACAAGCAAATAAGACCAGCTAGATGTCTAGTAATGTCCACGTACCTTCATTGACCAGCTAAATGTCATGTCTATATACCCTCCTAGACCAGCTAGTTGTTCAGTCATGTCCACGTACCTTCATTGACCAGCTAAATGTCATGTCTATATACCCTCCTAGACCAGCTAGTTGTTCAGTCATGTCCACGTACCTTCATTGACCAGCTAAATGTCATGTCTATATACCCTCCTAGACCAGCTAGTTGTCATAACCATGTACCCTGAATGACCAGTTAGTTGTCCAGTCATGTCCATATACCTTCTTAGACCAGCTAGTTGTCCAGTCATGTCCATGTACCTATCTACACCCGCTAGTTGTCATGTCCATGTACCCTCCTAATCCAGTTAGTTTTCATGTCCATATATGCTCCTAGACCAGCTAGTTGTCATGTCCATGTACCCTCCTAGACCAGCGAGTTGTCCAGTCATGTCCATATATGCTCCTAGACCAGCTAGTTGTCATGTCCATGTACCCTCCTAGACCAGCTAGTTGTCCAGTCATGTCCATGTACTCTCCTAAACCAGCTAGTTTTCATGTCCATATATCCTCCTATACCAGCTAGTTGGCCAGTCATGTCCATATACCCTCCTAGACCTGCTAGTTGTCCAGTAATGTCCATGTATCCTCCTGCATCAGCTAGTTGTCCAGTCATGCCCATGAACACTCCTACCGCAGCTAGTTGTCCAGTCATGTCCATATACCCTCCTAGACCAGTTAGTTGTCATGTCCATGTACCCTCCTAGACCAATTAGTTGTCATGTCCATGTACCCTCCTAGACCAGCTAGTTGTCCAGTCATGTCCATGTACCCTCCTAGACCAGCTAGTTGTCCAGTCATTTTCATGTACCCTCCTAGACCAGCTAGTTGTCATGTCCAAGTGCCCTCCTACACCAGATAGTTTTCATGTCCATGTACCCTCCTAGACCAGCTAGTTGTCATGTCCATATACCCTCCTAGACCAGCTAGTTGTCATGTCCATGTACCCTCCTAGACCAGCTAGTTGTCATGTCCTAGACCAGCTAGTTGTCCAGTCAGTCCATGTACCCTCCTAGACCAGCTAGTTTTCATGTCCATATATCCTCCTATACCAGCTAGTTGGCCAGTAATGTCCATGTATCCTCCTGCATCAGCTAGTTGTCCAGTCATGCCCATGAACACTCCTATCGCAGCTAGTTGTTTAGTCATGTCCATATACCCTCCTAGACCAGTTAGTTGTCATGTCCATGTACCCTCCTACCCCAGCTAGTTGTCCAGTCATGCCCATGAACACTCCTACCCCAGCTAGTTGGCCAGTCATGTCCATATACCCTCCTAGACCAGTTAGTTGTCATGTCCATGTACCCTCCTACCCCAGCTAGTTGTCCAGTCATGCCCATGAACACTCCTACCCCAGCTAGTTGTCCAGTCATGTCCATATACCCTCCTAGACCAGTTAGTTGTCATGTCCATGTACCCTCCTACCCCAGCTAGTTGTCCAGTCATGCCCATGAACACTCCTACCCCAGCTAGTTGTCCAGTCATGTCCATATACCCTCCTACACCAGCTAGTTGGCCAGTCATGTCCATATACCCTCCTAGACCAGCTAGTTGTCCAGTAATGTCCATGTACCCTCCTACCCCAGCTAGTTGGCCAGTCATGTCCATATACCCTCCTAGACCAGCTAGTTGGCCAGTCATGTCCATATACCCTCCTAGACCAGCTAGTTGGCCAGTCATGTCCATATACCCTCCTAATCCAGCTAGTTTTCATGTCCATGTACCCTCCTAGACCAATTAGTTGTCATGTCCATGTACCCTCCTAGACCAGCTAGTTGTCCAGTCATGTCCATGTACCCTCCTAGACCAGCTAGTTGTCCAGTCATGTCCATGTACCCTCCTAATCCAGCTAGTTTTCATGTCCATGTACCCTCCTAGACCAATTAGTTGTCATGTCCATGTACCCTCCTAGACCAGCTAGTTGTCCAGTCATGTCCATGTACCCTCCTAGACCAGCTAGTTGTCCAGTCATGTCCATGTACCCTCCTAGACCAGCTAGTTGTCATGTCCATGTACCCTCCTAGACCAGCTAGTTGTCCAGTCATGTCCATGTACCCTCCTAGACCAGCTAGTTTTCATGTCCATGTACCCTCCTAGACCAATTAGTTGTCATGTCCATGTACCCTCCTAGACCAGCTAGTTGTCCAGTCATGTCCATGTACCCTCCTAGACCAGCTAGTTGTCCAGTCATGTCCATGTACCCTCCTAGACCAGCTAGTTGTCATGTCCATGTACCCTCCTAGACCAGCTAGTTGTCCAGTCATGTCCATGTACCCTCCTAGACCAGCTAGTTGTCCAGTCATTTTCATGTACCCTCCTAGACCAGGTAGTTGTCATGTCCAAGTGCCCTCCTACACCAGCTAGTTTTCATGTCCATGTACCCTCCTAGACCAGCTAGTTGTCATGTCCATATACCCTCCTAGACCAGCTAGTTGTCATGTCCATGTACTTTCCTAGACCAGCTAGTTATCATGTCCATGTACCCCCATAGACCAGCTAGTTGTCATGTCCACATACCCTCCTAGACCAGCGAGTTGTCCAGTCATGTCCATGTACCCTCCTAGACCAGCTAGTTGTCATGTCCATGTACCCTTTTACACCATCTAGTTGTCATGTCCATATACCTTTTTAGACCAGCCAATACCTACTTAGTTAACGTTTTCATAAACGTTACTTACAACCTAATAGACTATTTGTGTCGTTTTCACCAAAGCATATAAAAGACCTACATATTTGACTAATTTCAAACGCCTTTTCTCTAAGCCTAGAAAGTAACTTTGCAACCTATTCTATCCAGACCTATATGACCCCAAAGGTCTAAAGATCACTGAAGTAGGCTTCACACATTTTCAGTCGATACAAAACTGACTGTCAGCGACTACATCGTGATGTAGACGATGACTACCCGCTACGTTTGTTCTTCAAAGCCTATTTTTTTTTTACGATACCAGAATTCGATTTTTACATAAAAAAAACAATTCTGCGTTAAAAGTGTTAAGTATTCTACACCATTTTATAACTTTATTGATGGTATAAACCAAAATGTTTAAGAAATCATATTAATTCAATATGTGAATACAAAATCCATGTGAAATAATATTTTAGTCATACAAAATAAAATTTGAAGTAAAAGTTGTTTTCTTTCAATCAATATTTTTCGGTATTTACTATTTTTGTCCTGCCGTAGTAACCATAATTTTTTTTCTGTGACTTAAGAAAACACTTCTTAAAAAAAATAATACTACCCAAAGATATATTAAAACTAACCATAATGTGATCATAAACGTTATTAACTTTTACTGTTCACTATTAAAATCATGAGTCATACGTTTTTAGCGTTTCTTGTCAATAGAAATAAAATCACGTCTTTGTTAAAACCTTGGTCAACGTTTGTAAATGGGATGACATTAAAAAACACATTATCGTGGTCATAAACGCGAAAATAAATTTGGTATTTTAAAATATAAACAGTTACGGACTAACTTTGATTACTGGTATAGCACATAAAAATAATATTTTATGAAAAAATATATTTGAAAGCTATTAAAATTTAGCGATAACCTTTTTATTACTTCAATTTTTTTATTGGGGGACGGCGTAGATGTTAAACACGATTTAAAAAATCTAATACTTAAAGTGGAACCACTAAAACATAATGCTCGAATTATTTTTATTCTATCGCTCATAAAATATTTTTAGAGAAATAAGCGAGAAACAAATTTTCTCCCATTTCAAAAAAAAAAGTTTAAAAAATCGTTCAATATTTTACATTAAAGCCACACATAAAGCCAATAAAGGTGACTCACACGATACATCAAAATAAAGATAGTGGCTTGGCCAAAACACTTTATCTTCAGATACAGAGAAGTATATCCATATGTATGTCTACCAGTAATAGCTGTTTGCTAAATCTAATATATATGCATATAATTCTTTAAATGTATATATACATACAAACATATATTAAATATGTACAGTAACGTGACAGACGCACATATAAAGGTCTGGAGAGCATTACTTCTGTAAACAAGAGGAGTAGTTATTTCCCTTGATTTACCTCAGAAGGCACATCCCAGTTTAGCGAACGATAATCCCGTGGTCATTCAAACCAAGAGTTTGTTCCCATTTGTTTACAGTTAAAAATACGTTAGAAAACAATACGCCCGTCAATGGAGTGGTTAAATGAAGCAGATGTTAAAAATAAAAGCGATTTGTGGCACGATGAGGATTTCATTTTCTCGGGTGTTTGGTCGAACTACCTGCTATCGGAGAAGGTGCAAAACTATCTCCATCTGGTGCTGATGACGTTCGTGTGTGTGTTTGGCGTTCTGGGAAACTGCATGACCTTGCTGGACATGGCGAACCGAAAAATCAAAGATTCCACAAATGTTATTATTGCTTCTCTTTCTGTGACGTATCTGTTGTTTTCCATCACGGGATTTCTGAACAATATTTTACTTTTTTGTTCTCAACATTGCTATGCCTCTAATTATAGTTTGAGAATCGAGTACCTCAATATCGTCGTTTTTCTAAATCGATACGCGATTCTCGCGAGTTTTCATCAAGTGGCGTTGATCGCTTTGGAAAGATTTGTAGTTGTCTGTTTGCCGTTTAATTTATCGAGACTATTTACTTCAACACTTATGACCTTCCTTATTGTTTTAACTCAGATTTATGTAACTATTGTAGGTTTATTTGAAAACAAATTCACAAGTTATTACTTGAGCAAATTTATTTTCAATTTGAACGAAACAGAAGCTTTGAAAAATTTAGACACAGTTTCTAGCTACTTCGATTTGAATCGTTTTATTATTTGCTCATCTTTTCCTTTTGCTGTTGTTGTTATTTGCACGGTTATGATCTTGTTAAAATTATTTTTATCTCCAAGAAAAATTAACAAATTCAAATCTCCGAATGTAGTTGGGAATAAAATCAAAGATTTAAAAGTGATTCGGTTACTGGTAACAGTTTCCGTGTCGTATGTTGTGATACTGATTCCATCGAAGCTCTTACAGGAGTGCTACCTGCTACCCAAAACATTGAATCAAATCGATATAATGTTGTGTATGGTAACGTCCATACTTTTTCAGCTCAGCTCCTCTGTTAATTTCGTTATTTACTTCACGATGAAGTCAAAGTTCTTAAAACATTTCAGAATATGTCAATTTTCTAAAACAACAGAAAGTCCATGTACTTAAAATATTTTAGAAAGCCTAGCTTGTTAAAATGAATGAGAAAATACAATACAACTAGATTATATAAATGTCTTTATGTATGTACAAAAAGCTATGGCCTGTTCTCTTTGAGAAGCGATAAAATAGCAGTGCAGATTCCACCAGTTTATATATTTATATCATATCACATCTTTGGATAACCGTATCAAGCGGACAGTGGATCGTATTAAGAAAATTAGCTTTTTTCAAATCATTAAAAGGGTCATATGTTTTTACAAGAATGTATCAACCTTGATTAAACTCGCGTAATTAATGCTTCCTCTGTCATTAGTTGAAACTTAAAAACGAGAATTTACACCAAATACTATCGAACCGATTTGTTTCAAATATGAAACGGACAAGATTCAATAACAACGGAATGTGTCTTTAATATTGACGTGTTAAAAATTAATTTCAGATTACCTAACAAACGACTAATCTTTTTGAGTATTACAAGCACATTCGGTACTTTCTATTAATGCGCAGGTGTTTTTACAATTTGTCTCAGTCGGTCAGTCTTTGGAGTCGAAACGGGCGAGCGAAATCTCGACCACTTGAAACGGACTGATTCGTTTCAAACTTGGCACATGGGTCAAGAACCCAAGTTTGCAAGCCTTTATTTACGCGCTAAACATAAGGGAAAAAACCTAGATATAATAAAGCTGAGTCAGCTCCACTAAACTTTCAATTTTATGTAGCAGTGAGGCATTTTCGATGCAATCGGGTTAACATTAAACAAATTTTTGAAAAAAAAAACACCCTTAGAGACGAATAATTCGCAAAATATAATTTATGAAAATGTGATTTAAAAATATCAAATTCTGAGTAATAAAACATCAAAAATAAAAAAATAAAGTACTCCCTCGTAATTCGTAAAACATTTACTGAAGTGTTAGTACAAGAGCAAATACCTATACAGGAACTTTCTTCCTCCTAACTGATGCTGTACTCAAGTTTTAGTATACCAGTGTAACACTGCTTCAATGGGGATGCTTATCACCCACTGAGGTGTTGTGATTAAAAGGGCTGACCATGAGAGATAGCACACAAGAAAAGACTCTGTTGTTGTCAGTAATGGCTTTATTGACATTAGCATCCAAGCCAACCGGCTATGTAGAACAGCAGAAATATAGAAAACAGTAGAAACAGTAGCCCTTCATTAGGTCTACATGATCAACTTATCATAGGCAACGTCACCGTCCGTGTCCACAGCAGCCTTGGGTCTGACTGACACGGCCACAGGCACGAACTACCCAGAGTCCCAGAAGTCACATGACATGGAACACGGGAACGAGCATCGCTCACCGAAGAGCAATAAAACAACTACATTAACAGTTGCGGTCCCACAGGGGCCGCAACCCAATAAATTATAAATTACAATTTATCCCCCTTGACTGGTAACCATGATATGTGTTACATCAGAAATAGAGTAAAGTAACACGGCTATCAGAGGTCACCCAAAAAATT